CACCAAAAAATTTTAAAATAACCCTTCACTTCTTAAACTCACCTCATCGGCAATTTTAAGCCATTTCGACATGTTTCTTGCACAGTCAACCCCTCCCGACACCACCATTACAATCCCCTCAACCTCCATATCAAAACCCTTAACCTTCTCGCCTGATTGAACCCTCTAATCGCCGATCGCCGCTCTTAGTTTCAGTCGGTGTTTTATCCAAATTTTGGCAAGTCTTGGCACCGAAAACCACCCCCAGCACCACCAATAGCATCACCGGCTTCCCCCCACCAAAACCCCCAATAGTGCCGATTGTCATTGCTCGTTGATAGCCGTTGCCTCTTGAGCATTTTGTTGCGCCTTTCCAGCAGAATTCTGGCACCTCGTTGAGGTGCAATCAAGTGAAAAAGTTAGGGGTTTTGGTAAGGAGGATAAAGGGGTGCTGTTGGAGAGGTCTAATGATGTCGGATTTTGGCTTGGCCAGGATCTTTGGGGGTTATTTGAGAGAAATTTGAGATGTAGAGGTTATTTTAGAGTAAAGTAATGGTGTCAATTTAAGGGTGTGAATCGTAATTTATGAAACAAGGGTGAGAAGGGTGAGAATTAGATTGGCCAAACCTTGGGTGGGAATATGTAGTTTACTCATTAAATAATGATCTTAAGATTGGGACTGCGAGTACAACTGCTTTTTTGTTTTGATTTTAAATCTGAGACGACTTCTTTCGTAATTACCTAAATGACCTTTTATAGTGAAACTGAAAAGTGAAAAGAAACTTGCAGGCATGTGTTCTGTATTTTTAAATGATTTCCTGACACGAACAAATGTCTGAATGTGAATCAATAACATAAAGCGACACTTCCGGATGTTAACTATCTTTTTCCCTGTTTTGCCCCACTTACCACATGGGTTTTGAGGTAATCTACTATAACTTAGATTTTTTTGAAAGTAAATAATCGGTCAGAATGGTAACAGGATACTAGATACCATGTCAAAATTAAGAGAACAAATGAGGTAATTAAAGAGAAAATAGATATTTTAAGAAGTTAAGAGAGGCAGTAGAAAAGAGCGCGAACATGTTATAAAATAATCTTTGAGATACAAGAATTATACTCAATTAAGTTGAATTATTTATATTAAATTATCATAAATTATATTAGGTATACATAATTTGTTTATACAAAAATGTGATAGTTATGTATGGATAAAAAATATTACAATAATAATACAATCTTTATAATAAAAAAACTAAAATAATATCTAAATTACAATAAGAATATGAAAAATATCACATATTATTGCCTCTATTGGAATGTCAACATAGTCCTTTATTAACAAGATGTTTGAAAGTACATTAGAAATAATTGTAAAAAGCTTGAATATGCTTGAAAGGTATCTTTGAGAGAGGCAAGAATATTAAGTATATACAACCTATTTATTTACAAAAATATAATAGTTATTTAAAGATAAAAAATATTATAACAATGATACATAATCTTTATAATAAAAGAAATAGAACAATATTTAAAATATAATAATATCATATATTCTTTTTCTATATTTCGCATGTCAATATATTCCTTAATCGATAAGATCTTAGAAACTAATTAAAATAAATACAAATTTACAATTTGAAATCGTAAATTATATTTGACATAGAATAGAAGTATTGCACTTGTTGCAAGGGAGAACAACATTTTCACCCCCAAGGTTAGGCAAAATGCCACTTTCCCACCCATTAAGTTTTAAAACGACATTTTACCACCCTTCGTTAGGTTCTGTTAGTGTTTTCTGTTAATATTTGACTAAAAAGATAAAAATACCCTTACATATTTGACTTTATTATTTTTTATTATTTTTTAATATCAAGTCAATTACCAAAATACCCACTCTTTAAAAATGAAATCACTAGTATACCCTCAACTTTTATGAAAATTAAGTTACCAATTTATCCTTTTTATTAAAAATAATGTTTCAAATGTATGAAGTTACAGTTGGATTTTTAAAATATTAAAACCTGTAAAATTACCATTTTATCCTTATAGTTGCTGCAACCCTACATTGACATTTATATTTAAATTTTGTCAATTTAAACCTAAATAAAACAAAGTACTAGTATTACTAACAAATTTATATAAAAAAATAGGTTGTCAATTGAAACCCAATAAGAATAGGGAATTCAATACCAAGAAAGTAGGTTTCCAAAAACTCTATGCAAAGACAAAAAAATAGTACTGTAGAATTAAAAGAGAAGCAAAGTGTAAAACCAAGTAGCCATAAATTACAAAAATTTCATATATTTCCCCCTCTATCTAGTTGCTTCCAAAAGTTGTCTCGAAAATAATTTATGTTACCAAAACCATAAATTCCTAGAATACTTCAATCTCCTTGCCTTCATGATATCTCCATCTTTCTAACATTAGCTCCACACTTGAAATCATCACTAGAATGATACCCTACACAAAAAAATATATCATTCTTTAATATTCTGTCAAATTTAATAGAGAACATCAAAGTAACCAGCAGTCAAGGCAAAATTTGTGACTGATACCATCAAAATAACCACCAATTTAACAGAAAACATCTAAATAACCACAAAACAAGACAAAATTTGCAATTGATCCAATCAAAATAACCATCAATTGAACAGAGAACATCAAAATAACCACCAGATGTCCAAATAACCATCAAACTAACCACCGTTCTTTAACAGTAGGCAAAAAAATGTTGAAAGATAAAATATGACTGATCCTGTCACCATCCCAACTTTGTAAATCGTTTAGAACTACAATAGACTAATTTATTGCCCAATAAATAAGGCTCGATAAATATTTCGTGGACCATCAAAGATGATTGTAATATTAAATACTCATAAAAACATTATCACAATTTTCTTAAACTATCATGATGTAACAACCATTGAATAAGTAATAGAAAATTTTCTAAAAAATTGTTAATATAACATATTTGGATAGATGATAAACTAACTGACCCTGTACATGTATTTTTACTACATGGTTAACTGAAATCTCTTTCAAAAACAAAAGAATAAACAGGTACTAAAAATAGAAAACTATATTTTTACCTGTGTATTTGAAACAAAACAGTCAACTGCTGCACACGAAATAACCCCTACATTACTGATTTGCTTGACCTGTTATCATGATTAAGAATAATGTTAGGGAAGCAAATAATGAATAGACATCAACACTAGTCTGGCCCTCTCTATCAATGAATACTTGTTGAACTTGGAAAATGTGATGAATAATACTCTCTCTCTTTGGTGTTGTTAGAATATAATTAGAGTTAACTCTACTAAATAATTTAATTTACAACAGGGAATTACAAAGAGATCATGTGGAGGCCCCAAAAAACCACGTCTTTTAAGTCAAGATAATTCATTAACCAAAACAAGATATACAACAAAAAATAACAAACATTAGATAACATATTGATTAAAAATGCTAAAGGAGTTGAAAGACAAGTAAATTAAACCTCTACAAGCAAAGACGATCTCAGTTTTCAACCAATGGTGCTACAAACTTAAATGTTTCAATTTCATAATAATTAAAATAACACAAGAACATTGTTATCCAAGAAAATAATATATATCAACACCATAGCTTCTTATTGTGGTCTTTACAAACTCCACATTCTTATCCTTGTTGAAAACAAATTCTAGGACTCTTTAAGATCAATCAGAAACTGATAAAATATTCCACAAATGCAGTGTCTTTGTTTCAATTTGATGCAAGATGTGTCTTTCCCATTGTCTATCATAAATCTTATATGTAATTAATTTGAACACTAGAATTCCCAACTTCAATATTCCGTATCCGAAAGACTAAATGGTTTAAAATGTTGCAACAAAAATTTCATAGGACCTTCAAGTGAAGATTCTCATCAAGACAAAAGGCACCAATGGCAATGCAAAATCTGAAATTCGTTAAGCAGTATTGGGACAGAAGTTGAACAATTGTCTCACAAACTAATAGACATTATAAGAATTCATATTTTGCACCAAAAAGGACTTCACTCTAGAAAGTAACATTTTTTTTGTTCCTTCTAAAAAGCTCTATAATTTAACCACTAAGAACCAAACGAAAAACACATAACAATTTTGTTTTAAACTAAGACAAAAACAAAAAAAGAAGAAGATTACCCACAATTTTTGGCTTAGTAGTCGTCGTCGTAGCCAATCGTCGCTCGCCCTTTCAAACTTTTTTTTTGTCCGTCGTCGTCCTTAGTCGCCAACCTTAAGTCCCCAATCGCTTCAGTTTCAAGAACAGGAAGAACAAAAAATCAGCTTTTTTTTAGTCTATAGAATTGTCGTGCATTCAAACCACAACCATGATCACTCTATCTCAGTTCAAGAAGACACCAAAATAGAAGGTAATTGAGTTTGGAAAAGAAGCCAATACGTACCATGAGTAGAAGAAAGGGATACGATAGAAGAGAGGGAGAAGACGCTTCAGTTTTACAGAGCAGAGAGAGTTACAATAGAACTTTGGGTCAGTCGTTTCAGTTCCAGAGAGCAGAGAGAGAGTTACAATAGAACTCTGGGCGTTTTAGTTTCAAAGAGCAGAGAGAGAGAGAGACAGTTACAATAGAATACAATCAACTTTTTGGTGTTATTTGTTTTTTCAAAGTTAACCTCCCTGCCATGTGGCAACCATTCAGCAACTAAACCTTATATTTCAATTTTTTAATTTTAATTTTTGTGGCTTGATATAAATTAACCATATTACCCTTCTTTAAAACGGAAAATACTAACAGAATCTGACGAAGGGTGGGAAAATGTCGTTTTGAAACTTAATGGGTGGGAAAGTGCTGTTTCGCCTAACCTTCGGGGCTCTCCCCTTGTTGCAACGATCAGGGAGGCATTATGGTGTAAAACAAATAGTAAATGGTAATTAGATTATTATTACCTTTTCATTAAAATAATGTAGATATTTAATAATTTAAACTTGGCGTAGCCACGTAACCACGTTAGTCTGCCACCTCGAGAACACTCAAAACTTTCAAGTTCAAATTTTCTTCTCTACTTCTTCTTCTTCCTCTCCTTTTTCTCTGCAACTCCTCGTTGCATGAAACTTAAACAATCTTCATTTTGAATCACTAGAGCCTCGCAATTTTAGATTCCAATATTTGAAACACTGGTGACAATGCTTCTTCAACTCTTTCTCACACTCTTGTTTGCTCCTTTCTCTTTCTCTCTCAACCAAGATGGCCTCGCTCTTCTCGCACTCAAAGCCGCCATTTCAACTGACCCAACTCGCTCCCTCGACTCTTGGTCCGACTCAGACTCAACCCCCTGTCATTGGACCGGCATTCACTGCATTAGAAACCGAGTCACCTCTCTCTATCTCCCAAACAAAAGCTTCACTGGCTACATGCCCTCCGAACTCGGCCTCTTGAACTCACTCACTCGACTCAATCTCGCTCACAACAACTTCTCCAAACCAATACCTGCCAATCTCTTCAACACCACAAACCTCGTTTATCTCGATCTCTCTCACAACTCTTTCTCTGGCACAATTCCTGACCAAATCAAAACTCTTAAAGACTTAACACACTTAGATTTATCTTCAAACCACCTGAACGGGTCCTTGCCGGAATTTCTACTCGACCTAAGAGGCCTAACTGGTACTCTAAACTTGTCTTACAATCAATTTTCAGGTCAGATTCCGGAGATGTACGGACATTTTCCGGTGATGGTGAGTTTGGATCTAAGGTATAATAATCTCAGTGGAGAGATACCTCAAGTGGGCTCACTTTTGAACCAGGGACCCACCGCATTTTCCGGAAACCCGAGGCTTTGTGGGTTTCCATTGCAGAGTCCATGTCCAGAAGCTGAGAATCCCGGGGCTTTTTCAAACCCTGAAGAAGAACGGGATCCGCAAGACCCGAAGAGTTCTAGCTCTAGCTATGGTGGTGAAGAGAAAGAGAAAGAGGAGAGAAATACTGGTTCAGTGGCAGTTTCAGTAATTTCTGGCGTTTCGGTGGTGGTTGGTGTTTTTGTCTCGGTGATGCTGTTTCGGAGAAAACGACGAGCTCGTGAGGGCAAAATGGGGAAGGAAAATAAGTGTGGTGATGTTGTTGTGGTTGACGAAGAGGAGGGGCAAAATGGTAAATTTGTTGTGATGGACGAGGGGTTCAGTTTGGAGTTGGAGGATTTGTTGAGGGCTTCGGCTTACGTGGTGGGGAAAAGTAGAAGTGGGATTGTTTACAAGGTTATTGCTGGGAGAGGATCGGCTGTGATCGCGCCTACTGTTGTTGCAGTGAGGAGGTTGAGTGAGGGTGATAACAGGTGGCGGTTAAAGGAGTTTGAAGCTGAGGTGGAGGCCATTGGAAGGGTCCAGCATCCGAACATCGTGCGGTTGAAAGCTTATTATTATGCAAATGATGAGAAGTTGCTGATTTCTGATTTCGTCCGCAATGGAAGCTTGTACACTGCGTTGCATGGTAAAAAAACTATCTTTTTGAAATTTAGTGATTGTAATTATAAGGTTTAGAGGGTAGATTAGCTTAATTTGGGAAACAAATAATTATAGGGTCACATGAATTGGCTGTTAATCATGTTTAATGTTTGAAATGGGGGGCCTACATGGTTTCGTTCTTCTACACTATTATTGTTTTGGTAAACTTTTATCTAATTATTCTAGAAAACTAGTTTTGTAACTCGAAAATAATTAAATTCATATTATTAGAATTAGAGAATGCATATTTGAAAGCAGGATAACATAAAATGTTTCTCAAAAATAGGGATAATACTTTATATACAAACCTTTTATATAGAATAATGTGAATTAAAAATAAATTAAATAATTAAAGGAAATTACAAAGCAAACATGCAGGTTGACACATCAATTCATAGGGGATAGTTTGTATAGATAATCTGTATATGTAGTTTTACTCAAAAAATATATAAAACGTTTTTTCGGCGTCTCTTTTGTTTACAATTGGTGTATGAAGGATAAGTTTTCCAAATACTAGGCTGAATGTGGTTCAAAGTATAGTGTTCTTTGAGATGGCTCTGAACTTCTAAGTTAAGACATGCTCATGCAAGTAAAATTTGTTTCACTTGAATCCAAATATATGAATCATAAAGACATATATGATGGGTCCAGACTATGCTTAGTGTCTGACAATAATTAATGTCAGTTTTCTGGCGATTTTTTAAACTTCCCCTGTGATTTTTCCAGTAGCCTTCCTTCTGAATTGAGGTCATTGTAAACATTTTTGGGGCCTTCTCTGTTCTCATTGAAACAGTAATTACTCATTTCAGATACACCTGTGGTATCTTTCTCTTTGTTTTTTTTATGTCCATGTGCACTCTCTCAAGATACCCTTGTGAGGACAATTTTTCATGTTTTTCAGAACTCTTAGACAAAAATATTTATTTTGTGGTCCTCTTCATCTGCTTCTGATTGCTCTTATAAATACTAAGACCAAAATTTATTGAATGATCCCATTATAGTGACAGACAAATGCATAGTTTTCAATGCAATTGACATCTGATAGTGACATGAAATAAGAGGTGGACCACTATCACCATTGTAATCCTGTTCCATACTGCATATTGGTTTATTGCCTTTTGTGGTTACCAACTTGGAAAAATCCTTTCTTCCGTGAATTGATGATGTTTTTCACCCGAGTGGTTAAAATGCTACATGTTAAATGGTGGAAGAGAAATTCCTATTTGGATTTTAAATCATGTTAAATATACATATAACTTGTATTGGATTTATCACCTAAATCAAAGTTTATGCTTGTTATGGCACTCTATAATTAGAAGGAAAAACATCTAACTGTTTCCTTTCAATGTTTGTGATGGCTTTCCTAGTACAGTATCAGTTGGCAATATAATAGGCTAACTAGTTTCTGCAATGTTGTGTAATTGTTGCAGGGGGACCTTCCAATTCTTTGCCACCACTTTCATGGGCTGCAAAGTTAAAAATTGCTCAGGGAACTGCTAGAGGTTTAATGTACATACATGAACACAGCCCTCGAAAATATGTTCATGGCAACATCAAATCTACAAAAATCCTCCTTGACGGTGAACTCCGGCCTCACATCTCAGGTTTTGGAATCACTCGTCTTGTCCCTGGTACCTCTAAAATGACCAAAAACCAAACCATTGCAATCGGTTCCAGATTTTCGGCTCATGCTACTGTTTACTTGGCGCCTGAAGCTCGAATTTATGGCAGCAAATTCACTCAGAAATGTGATGTCTACTCATTTGGTATTGTTCTCTTGGAATTATTAACTGGGAGACTGCCTGATGCGGGACCTGACAATGATGGTAAGGAGCTGGAGAGTCTTGTAAGGAAGGTGTTTCGAGAGGAGCGTCCCATGTCTGAGATTATAGACCCAGCACTGCTGACTGAAGTTCATGCCAAGAAACAAGTTATTGCAACATTCCACATTGCTCTTAATTGCACCGAGCTGGATCCAGAAGTTCGTCCTAGGATGAGAACAGTGTCTGAGAATCTTGATCGCATCAAATCACAGTGAAAATTTTTCTGGAAGTGCCTTGTAAAGTTTTTTTCATTGCCGCTAACTTCTGGGTTTTGATGCTTTTAACTTTTCAGTAGTATCGATTTTGAATTTTGATGTCCTAGTTATGCAGGGTTATTGGGCTGTATCTCAACGTGAAACTATTATCGTATGCAACTGCATTCTCCTTGAATGTATTTATAATCCGTCTTTCTCGGCCTCTTGAAGTTCATTGGCTTAAGTTTAGCCATACAAACTAATTTAACCCAATAACTCAGAGTTCACATCCAAGATTTAGAGGAAGAGGAGATATGAATCATAAAAAATATGTTGGAAGGCAACTTAATAAGATCTAATATATCATTCTTCAATGACCAGTGATATGAAGTAAACTTAGCCCTCTAAAGACGTTTAGACTTTAGATGTTCATTGGTTTCGAATCTTTCCTGATTCTTTCTTTTGTTTCCTTTTAGTAATCTTGACTGTTGACTGGTGACTGTAAGCTTAGCTAGGTAATTTTCAGGCTTAGGGCAAGAACTTGTAAAATTCATTTTGGTGTTGAAATTGTCTGACCTTAAACCCAACCACATACCTCTTCCTCTACAAAATTTAAATTAAATGGACCCCTTTCCAAATTGGGTAAGACTATGACTATGAGAGTATCTGGGTCATGATTTGAAAAGTGGTTTAGGGTTTTGGACTTCACCAACGAATTATTTCTCTAATCAAGAGGTTTTTTTTTTTTTTAATAAATATTGAACTCCATCTCCATGTCAAACACATCAACTCACCCTAATTTTACTAATCCAAAGCTTTAACATTTTAGAGACAAAAGAAATTAAATCTAAAAGTTACTTTCAGTCCTCTTTGACTTGATTATCTTTTCAAAATCCTATGCACATGCACTTTATTCTCCACCCATAACTTTGATCTTAATGACCAATTTCATGAGCCTCTCTTGAAAAGGCATATATATATATATATATATTATAACTTGAATACTTGAAAGTATACCATATGAAGATCAAATTTCCCCAAAATTGCTGAATGAATTTATTGGTTTGAAAAGTGCTTCAAAAAATTGGATACGAGTATACGACACAAATCAATCCATTAACCTATTTTATAGCTCATCGTATTCGTTTAGTCTTGAAAAACGTTTCACTTGTCTTAGCACTTTGACTTTTTAATTAATTAAAAAATTTAAAGTAAAATGTATATTTTGATAATTTATTTCCCATCCTAAACTTCTAACCTAATTGTTCAAGTATTTTTCTTAATTTCTATTATTATTAAACGTAAAAAAAATGTCTCATTATTTGTCTCTTAGTCATTATCAAATTTAGTATGGATTATATTGCTTGTTAATTTATACTTATTAAATTTAACAGTGAGATAAATAATATCATGTTTTATAATATGTGTGTATATTTAATGATGAAATTTTATGTAACAACCAATTATAATTTTACACTACGTTAGTTTGAGAATGAACTTTAATATTGAATTTTTAGTGTGTGCAATTATATAATTATGAAGTTTTTTTTGTCATTTCAATTATTGTGTTTATGTATATAATTTAATATTCTAATATAAAATTATTTTATAATAATTCTCATCATATCATATTCATTGTTTGATTAGAAAAATTTTGAAAAACAAAATTCGGGGAAACTTTTAACGAGTTTTAGTATATGATAAATAATGTTTGAGTTTAGGTTTTTCTATGTAATAATGGTATGAATTTAGTTTACGACAATTAAACATAACATGAATACGATACGATACAATACAATACAAATTGTTCAACACGAGCCATCGAAAAAGATGTACTAAAGTTTAAAGAAATATTATTTAGATAGAAATAAATAAATAAAAGAGAAAGTGTAGAAATAGATCTTAAAAAGGGGTTAGTGATTGATTTGGGCATATCTGAAAAGCATAAAAGAGGGTTTGCTTAAATAAGAAGGGCTTTTACCCTTTGTGAGATCTAAAGCCCAAACATAAATTTTATATAAAAATAAATTAAAGGAACAAACCATTGAAGCAAATGCGGAGTCACGTGTCCATGTTTCCTTCCACATAAACACTCCCTTACTTTATTTGGAATGGGAGGCCTTCAACATGAAAACATCGTCCTTTTCTTTTATTTTATTACTATACTACGGTTTACCTTTTTTTCTTTACCACCGTCTCCACGAGAGTGAAGAGGGACCATCACGAGAAGCTTTTGAAGTATATATTCTTTTAATTTTATTTTATAATTCCCAAGTTATTATACATTTTGTTCAATAATATTTGTTAAGGATAAGGTATTGCATAATTTATTATTACTTAATGTCAATTTATTTACAAAATTAATAACTTAAGTTATTTAAGGGAGTGGCAAAATTGGTAAAAAGAAAGAAAAAAGGGGTTGAGATGGAGGTTTCAAAAAATGGAAAGACGGCGGGTATGATGTAATGAGAAGAAAAGGTGAAAAGGAGAGGGGAATCAGATGCGGCATGAATCAGTGCTCACGGGCACTGATACAGTGACGTCAAGGCCTTTGATATTATCAAATCACATCACATCATATCGATCATATCATCGCCCAATACTATTAAGTCCCATATCTCGTGCGGTTATGCCTTATCCGTGACATCAACTCACACTATTCCCAACGCTCAACGCCGTCAACTCTTTTTTTTTTCTATTCCCGTACTCTTAGTTATATTCTCATACATACTCTTAATTCTTAGAGTTGTATTAAATATCAAATTTAGATTTTTATCTTTTTCATTAATTAAATTTTAAACTATTCAAAAATTATTTCATTTATTTTTTAAGTATATACAAACAATTTATTTTTCTATTAATTGGGAAGAAAATTATTAAATAAATTGGTAAAGCAAGTTTAGTGGGGAGGTAAGATTCATATTTTGGATAATGGTATATGCTTGATTCTTCTTTGATTAACAATAAAAGTGGTAGTGATTTTATTCATAAAAATCTCTAGTAAATTTTATACTTTATTCTTTTTTTGACCTATTTTTTATTATGTAATTCAAATATATGAGGGAGAAGGGCATTTTGTGAAATAAAGGAACACAGGTGGAGAGGTTGTCCGAAACAATGAGAAGAAGAAGAAGCAGAAGATAAATATCACCTCCGTTTCCTTCCATCACACACCATTTCTTTTCTTTTTCAACTTTCTCTCAAGATCTTCCTTGCTTTCGGTGCTTTCATTTCCAAATCTCACGTTCTTTTCATCTCTCCTCTCTCAACCTTCCTTTTATTTACCCTTTCTTTATTTTATTTTATTTTATTTTTACATTGTTAGCTTCTACTCCTTTCATTTATATCCTTTCAACCATTTTCTCTACCTCTTTTCTTTTGTTGCTTCCTCTTCAAGATCTTATCTTTCTCTGCTTACAATTCAAGCTGAATTTTCTTCTCCAGAAAGTGATGCATCATATTTCCTAGAATTATTAAGCTATCTGGAATGCTTCTTCACCATCGAATCTATAACTCAACCAAACAGTTCTCGTTTCTCAATAATCTGTAAGAGCGGAAACACAGAGTTTTCTGTTGTCATGGATTCTAGCATTCATAATTTTCAGAACCAATCCGATTCTGCCTTGTTGAGGTTTCACTCTGCTCCAAGCTCTCTTCTTGTTAATTTCACTGATACTATTGATAAGAGTAATTTTGAATCGGAGAGGTTAATCTCAAGATTCATTAACTCTGGTGGTGATACTGGTAATAACTCTAACTTTCAAGAATTTGAAGATAAATCGTCCGTTCATTGTGGGAATAATTCTCAACAAAACTGTCCTGGGTTGCCTCCTCATTATCCAAGGCAGAGTTCTGCTATGGACACCTCATTTGAGTTCTTAATGGATCATAACACACCAGTAAAAACTGTTAACTCCAATCTCGTTAGGCAGAGTAGCTCCCCTGCTGGACTATTCGCCAAACTCTCTGCTCAAAATGGTATCGTTGTTCTCATTTCTCAGCTCAACTCTGTTTTATTTTATTGCAATTTTTTTCTATATTTTTTCCCATATACTTGTTTTGTGTTTGAAGTTACTATACTTAGTTATGGTCTTTTTAGATTTGTCAGTCCATTTTAGCCTAAGGTGGCTGTTTAGATTTTTTTAGTCTAAATTCTGGTTATTCAAAAAGTTGTTTTGATATTGAATCGGCTATGGCCTTTAAAGTTATGTTGATAATGCTACTTACTCTTATATTAGAGCATTGGTATAAATTTCTTTTCTCACAGGAGATGGATGAAAAGAACTGAAAGTGAAATTCCAAGTTATGTGTGTTATATTGTTATGTGATATTTTTCTCTTAGAGATAATATAGAGCTCTTCTAGCAATGGTGACTGTTTTTTTCTTAACTAGAGTTGGGCTCAGTTTTGTTCATACAAAGAGAAATATAGGGATGAGGTTTGAGAGTAGTTTTTTCTTTGAGACAATTAGTGGTCTTGTGTTAAATTTAATTGATGTAGTGCTGCTGCTTTAAGACAATTATACTTAGTGAGGTGATTTCTTCTAAGAAGTTGGGATGTGACAAGAACAGTTTTGGCATGATTAGAAGCTTAGATGAATTACTTAAAATTTCTCAGTGAATTGCAGGCTACTCCACCGCAAAAGAAGTGGGAAACTATGGTGGGTTGAATGGATCGAATGGAAAAGTTTGTCCAGCTGCAAACAGACTGAAAACTCAGCTTAGCTTCTCATCAAGAATACCTTCTTCCTTGGGCATGTTGTCGCAGATCTCCGAAATTGAGAGTGATAGCGTCGCAGGTAGCCCTACTGATGGAAAAGTTGGAAATGGTGATGGTGATGCTCGGTTTTATAGTGCTGGATTCCCTTATGGTTCTTGGAACGATTTATCCCATTTCGTGGAGAATTTTACTGGCATGAAAAGAGACCAGGAAAATGACCGGAAGTTATTTTCTGGTACTCAGGTATCAATTTGTATATCAAGCTTAATTTTTATCCATATCTTACTGCTTGGTCGATTTTAATCTAATTGGTTTTCTGTCTTTAGAATGGAGAGCTCGGAAATTGCGTTCACATATTATCCCACCAGTTGAGTTTGCCTAAGACTTCAGCAGAGATAACAGCTATGGAAAAGTTCTTCCAATTTCAGGATTCTGTCCCCTGTAAGATTAGAGCAAAACGTGGTTGTGCCACTCATCCTCGAAGCATTGCCGAAAGGGTAAATATGTCTATATCATAAACCAATTAATATTCTAAGCACTTGAGAGTATGACAGGAGTGACCATGAAATATATCTATTGTTTAAGAACTTAAGGTGTCATTATATTTTCAGGTGAGAAGAACCCGGATCAGTGAACGGATGAGGAAACTACAAGAGCTTGTTCCAAATATGGACAAGGTATAATTTCTCCACACTTCAAACCTCAAAATCATTGTATTTGCAATCCTAAAATATTTACTTTTGTTTCCTCTTGGCAGCAAACAAACACGGCAGATATGTTAGATTTGGCTGTTGAGTATATTAAAGACCTCCAAAAGCAATTTAAGGTAAGAGAGAAGAAACTGAACTTCAATTTTAACATTCTTGCCAAACCATTCTTCACCTTACACTTTGATAATACTCTGCTTTGTAGACTCTTAGCGACAGCCGGGCCAACTGCAAGTGTTCGAATATTCAGAAGCCAGTCCCTAATCAAATTGTTTGACTTGCTTCTGTACAGAAGATAAGGAAAGTGATGAATAGGGGATTAGAATTTTCATTTTCTTTTTAATGAACTGAGCAAGTATAAGGAAGCTCAAGTTTCTATCACTTCATGAGCCATGACATAGAAAGGCAGATAGAATTTACACCACAAGATTCAAAGCCTGTAAGCTAACGAAGTATGGTTACAATATATATAGAATAAAGTGATAATTGTACAGGACATGCTTCTCTAATGCATTTCTTGTTACGTTCAAGCCACCAATTTATTTCACTGTTTCTTAAAGTGAGACTGAAACAAAGTGTTATTGTTTCCATTTTTAGCTATGCTAATTATGTTTTAGACAAGCCTTTGACTCACAATAGAATAGTTTATCGGACCAGAAGCTGCATTAATGTAAACTTGTGCAAATGAAATTTGAACTATAATTGCCATATCTTTGTACCAAATCCACTTTCAAAGCAAGTCTAAAATATAGATTCTTGAGGGCCGGTATAAAATATCGAGGGAGGTTAGATGAATGCTATAATGAAGCTGAAATGTACCTGAGGTCATCATATATGGTCTGAACTACTTAAATAAGCAATGTGCCAGAGTTTCTCTGGCTGTTTAATGAACCTTATCCATTTTCTGTTTTATTCAAAGGGCAACATTGAGTGCAGACACCAAAATTTTCTTGTTTTCACAATTTTACAGGAAGGGAACAGGTTTTTCTGTCCTTTTGTCTGTGTTTATATGGAGCCAAGTCACCAACCACAAACCTGGGCAGTAATTGTAAAGACAAAAAGAAATCAACTAAGATCAATGGGAGGAAAGATGGCAATTTCAAGTGAAGCAATAAGCATTGAAGGCTTGTTTGCCTTAGCTTTAAATTGGACTAAAATGTTAAGTTGAAGACTTGAAACGGTGCAGTATTCTCTTAAGGGGTGCAACGTTGTGTTGTATCATTGCTGGAAGTTAAATCTTGACCTTTGATTCAAAGTTGATCCAACGGCCATCATCAACTCTTTAGCACAACAGTGAAGTCACATTAAAGGGATCCTAATTCAATCGGGTTTTCACTACTGTACTGATTTTCCTTAAGCTTTCTGTTAGGCTAATTTGTTGCGATCAAATTTGTGTAACCTGGTGTGAGTGAGTGATTAGAGAGTTAGTCGTTCAGGTGAGAGGGGTTTTGTTCTCAAGATCTTAGAGATTCAAGGGATAGTTCTCTAGGTTGGGTTATGGGAGAGATTTGGTTGTTGTGAGTGTTAGATCTTTTGATCTTTGTTGTAAACTCTTGATTCTAATTGATTAGTGCAGTGAGCTCCTTCGATTCCGGAGCTCAATGTGGACATAGCCTATCCAATCTTGGATAGGTGAACCAAGGTAAATCTGTGTGTATTGTTGTGGTTTTGCTCTTGTGTGTTTTTTTGTCTTGATTGTGTGTTAAAGATTAGGAAGATTTCATAATAGTAGTATCAGAGCATTAGAGATAGGATCTTGTTTGATTTCTGAGTGACAAATTTGTTCAATTGAAAGTTTTGGGAAACCTAGGGTTTATGAACAATTTGGGGCTTTTTTGTCTAGGCATCTCTTTAGCACTCCAGGGTTCCCAAATCGTAAAATCGAAGGTGAAATTTGTTGATTTGATATGTTCTTGAAGTCTAGGGTTTCGTTTGGGTCATTGAGTCAGAAATCAGAATTGAACTTTTAGGGTTCAATTAGGGTGAATCTTGAAGTTTCTTTAATACACACACAATGTCTACAACTACTAGAATGGAGATTACCCAATACGATGGGAAAATCGACTTCAGTAGTTGGAAGAAAAAGATGAAGACACTGCTTTCCCATAATAAGGTGGCTCTGGCTCTGGAGAAGAACGCCGAGAAGTGGCCTGAAAATAAGCTGAAGAAAAAGGTAGAGATCGATGAAGAAGCGTACAACCTAATCATCATGAACCTGTCAGACAATGTCCTGTGGAAGGTAGATGGCCTAGAGACTCCTCTGGCCTTGTGGGGTAAACTCAAATCACTTTACGCTTTGCAATTTGCACCTAATCTTGCATTTTTAAAGGGTGCATTATTTTCATATATGATGGATAGTTCTAAGTCTATAGAAGACAAACTAAATGAGTTATTAAAAATGACCTTAATACTTAAGGGTCTGCTTGAGAGTTTTTTTTTCACTGGTTTTGAGGGTTTTTTAATTAGACTGGTTTTGAGGTGTTTAAAAACCATTACTTGCCAGATTTTTTATAGATTGGTTTAAAAACCCCCTAAAACCAGTATAGTGTATTTTTGAGGGGTTTATAAAACACCTCAAATTGGGGTTTCTTGGCTGGTTTAAAAATTTTATCCCAAAAAACCCCTTTCCACTATTAATAATCCCTTTGCTACTAAAAAAAAAGTCACAGAATAGAGCAGTCAGTCAGCCTCTTTGTTTGATTCTTCCTTCTCCAGCTTCTTCAATTCTCTCAACAAAGTTTGTTTCTCTCTTTCTCTCTCAATTTTAGTTTGGATTTACCATGCCATGCTTAAATGAGGGAAGGATCCTTTGTTCTTCATAATTGATTTGACCTAGATTTGCAATAGGTTATTCTATTAATCACATTTGAGATGAATTGTCGCTTGTTTGAAAGGTTATACTTCTTTTTAACTCGTATTACTTCATTCAATCTTCAACTTTTAGATGACTGTTACAATGCTTTTGAATCTTTTATTTATAGAATAATATGTTAGAGTCAAATCATAAATCAGGTTTTTTTTTTTTTCAATTTGTTTTGTGCGAGCATGTGTGAGACTAAAACCCTTTTATTATTTGAGTTGTTATGGCACTCTATAATTAGAAGGAAAAACATCTAACTGTTTCCTTTCAATGTTGTGATGGCTTTCCTAGTAAGTATCAGTTGGCAATATAGGCTAACTAGTTTCTGCAATGTGTGTAATTGTTGCAGGGGACCTTCCAATTCTTTGCCACCACTTTCATGGGCTGCAATTAAAAATTGCTCAGGGAACTGCTAGAGGTTTAATGTACATACATGAACACAGCCCCGAAAATATGTTCATGGCAACATCAATCTACAAAAATCCTCCTTGACGAGTGACCTCGGCCTCACATCTCAGTTTTGGAATCACTCGTCTTGTCCCTGGTACCTCTAATGACCAAAAACCAAACCATTGCAATCGGTTCCAATTTTCGGCTCAGCTACGTTTACTCGCCCTGAGCTCGAATTTATGGCAGCAAATTCACTCAGAAATGATGTCTACTCATTTGGTATTGTTCTCTTGGAATTATTAACTGGGAGACTGCCTGATGCGGGACCTGACACATGATGGTAAGGACTGGAGAGTCTTGTAAGGAAGGTGTTTCGAGAGGAGCGTCCATGTCTGAGATTATAGACCCACACTGCTGACGAAGTTCATGCCAAGAAACAAGTTATTGCAACATTCCACATTGCTCTTAATTGCACCGGCTGGATCCAGAAGTTCGTCCTAGGATAAGAACAGTGTCTGAGAATCTTGATCGCATCAAATCACAGTGAAAATTTTTCTGGAAGTGCCTTGTAAAGTTTTTTTCATTGCCGCTAACTTCTGGTTTTGATGCTTTTAACTTTTCAGTAGTATCGATTTTGAATTTTGATGTCTTAGTATGCAGGGTTATTGGGCTGATCTCAACGTGAAACTATCGTATGCAACTGCATTCTCCATGAATGTTTATAATCCGTCTTTCTCGCCTCTTGAAGTTCATTGGCTTAAGTTTGCCATACAAACTAATTTAACCCATACTCAGATTCACATCCAAGATTTAGAGGAAGAGGAGATATAACATAAAAATATGTTGGAAGGCAACTTAATAAGATCAATAATCATTCTTCAATGACCATGATATGAAGTAAACTTAGCCCTCTAAAGACGTTTAGCTTCAGATGTTCATTGGCTTCGAATCTTCCTGATTCTTTCTTTTGTTTCCATTTATAATCTTGACTTTGACTGTGACTGTAAGCTTAGCTAGGTAATTTTCGGCTTAGGGCAAGAACTGTAAAATTCATTTTGGTGTTGAAATTGTCTACCTTAAACCCACCACATACCTCTTCTCTACAAATTTAAATTAAATGGACCCCTTTCCAAATTGGGTAAGACTATGACTATGAGAGTATCTGGGTCATGATTTGAAAAGTGGTTTAGGGTTTTGGACTTCACCAACGAATTATTTCTCTAATCAAGAGGTTTTTTTTTTTTAATAAAGTATTGAACTCCATCTCCATGTCAAACACATCAACTCACCCTAATTTTACTAATCCAAAGCTTTAACATTTTAGAGACAAAAGAAATTAAATCTAAAGTTACTTTCAGTCCTCTTTGACTTGATTATCTTTTCAAAATCCTATGCACATGCACTTTATTCTCCACCCATAACTTTGATCTTATGACCAATTTCATGAGCCTCTCTTGAAAAGGCATATATATATATATATATAATTTATTATAACTTGAATACTTGAAAGTATACCATATGAAGATCAAATTTCCCCAAAATTGCTGAATGAATTTATTGGTTTGAAAGTGCTTCAAAAATGGATACGAGTATACGACACAAATCAATCCATTAACCTATTTTATAGCTCATCGTATTCGTTTAGTCTTGAAAAACGTTTCATTGTCTTAGCACTTTGACTTTTTAATTAATTAAAAATTTAAAGTAAAATGTATATTTTGATAATTTATTTCCCATCCTAAACTTCTAACCTAATTGTTCAAGTATTTTTCTTAATTTCTATTATTATTAAACGTAAAAAAAATGTCTCATTATTTGTCTCTTAGTCATTATCAAATTTAGTATGGATTATATTGCTTGTTAATTTATACTTATTAAATTTAACAGTGAGATAAATAATATCATGTTTTATAAATGTTGTATATTTTAATGATGAAATTTTATGTAACAACCAATTATAATTTCTCACTACGTTAGTTTGAGAATGAACTTTAATATGAATTTTTAGTGTGTCAATTATATAATTATGAAGTTTTTTTTGTCATTTCAATTATTGTGTTTATGTATATAATTTATATTCTAATATAAAATTATTTATAATAATTCTTCATATCTATTCATTGTTTGATTAGAAAAATTTTGAAAAACAAAATTCGGGGAAACTTTTAACGAGTTTTAGTATATGATAAATAATGTTTGAGTTTAGGTTTTCTATGTAATAATGGTATGAATTTAGTTTACGACAATTAAACATAACATGAATACGATACGATACAATACAATACAAATTGTTCAACACGAGCCATCGAAAAAGATGTACTAAAGTTTAAAAAATATTATTTAGATAGAAATAAATAAATAAAAGAGAAAGTGTAGAAATAGATCTTAAAAGGGGTTAGTGATTGATTTGGGCATATCTGAAAAGCATAAAAAGAGGGTTTGCTTAAATAAGAAGGGCTTTTACCCTTTGTGAGATCTAAAGCCAAACATAAATTTTATTAAAAATAAATTAAAGGAACAAACCATTGAAGCAAATGCGGAGTCACGTGTCATGTTTCCTTCCACATAAACACTCCCTTACTTTATTTGGAATGGGAGGCCTTCAACATGAAAACATCGTCCTTTTCTTTTATTTTATTACATACTACGGTTTACCTTTTTTTCTTTACCACCGTCTCCACGAGAGTGAAGAGGGACCATCACGAGAAGCTTTGAAGTATATATTCTTTTAATTTTATTTTATAATTCCCAGTTATTATACATTTTGTTCAATAATATTGTTAAGGATAAGGTATTGCATAATTTATTATATACTTAATGTCAATTTATTTACAAAATTAATAACTTAAGTTATTTAAGGAGTGGCAAAATTGGTAAAAAGAAAGAAAAAAGGGGTTGAGATGGAGGTTTCAAAAAATGGAAAGACGGCGGTATGATGTAATGAGAAGAAAAGGTGAAAAGAGAGGGGAATCAGATGCGGCATGAATCATGCTCCACGGGCACTGATACAGTGACGTCAAGGCCTTTGATATTATCAAATCACATCACATCATATCGATCATATCATCGCCCAATACTATTAAGTCCCATATCTCGTGCGGTATGCCTTATCCGTGACATCAACTCACACTATTCCCAACGCTCAACGCCGTCAACTCTTTTTTTTTTCTATTCCCGTACTCTTTTATATTCTCATACATACTCTTAATTCTTAGAGTTGTATTAATATCAAATTTAGATTTTTATCTTTTTCATTAATTAAATTTTAAACTATCAAAAATATTTCATTTATTTTTTAAGTATATACAAACAATTTATTTTTCTATTATTGGGAAGAAAATTATTAAATAAATTGGTAAAGCAAGTTTAGTGGGGAGGTAAGATTCATATTTTGGATAATGGATATGCTTGATTCTTCTTTGATTAACAATAAAAGTGTAGTGATTTTATTCATAAAAATCTCTAGTAAATTTTATACTTTATTCTTTTTTTGACCTATTTTTTATTATGTAATTCAAATATATGAGGGAGAAGGGCATTTTGTTGAAATAAAGGAACACAGGTGGAGAGGTTGTCCGAAACAATGAGAAGAAGAAGAAGCAGAAGATAAATATCACCCCGTTTCCTTCCATCACACACCATTTCTTTTCTTTTTAACTTTCTCTCAGATCTTCCTTGCTTTCGGTGCTTTCATTTCCAAATCTCACGTTCTTTTCATCTCTCCTCTCTCAACCTTCCTTTATTTACCCTTTCTTTTATTTATTTTATTTTATTTTTACATTGTTAGCTTCTACTCCTTTCTTTAATCCTTTCAACCATTTTCTCTACCTCTTTTCTTTAGTTGCTTCCCTTCAAGATCTTATCTTTCTCTGCTTACAATTCACTGAATTTTCTTCTCCAGAAAGTGATGCATCATATTTCCTAGAATTATTAGCTATCTGGAATGCTTCCCCGCCATCGAATCTAAACTCAACCAACTTTCTCGTTTCTCAATAATCTGTAAGAGCCGAACACAGAGTTTTCTGCTGTCATGGATTCTAGCATTCATAATTTTCAAACCAATCCGATTCTGCCTTGTTGAGGTTTCACTCTGCTCCAAGCTCTCTTCTTGTTAATTTCACTGATACTATTGATAAGTAATTTTGAATCGGAGAGGTTAATCTCAAGATTCATTAACTCTGGTGGTGATACTGGTAATAACTCTAACTTCAAGAATTTGAAGATAAATCGTCCGTTCATTGTGGAATAATTCTCAACAAACTGTCATGGGTTGCCTCCTCATTATCCAAGGCAGAGTTCTGCTATGGAACCTCATTTGAGTTCTTAATGGATCATAACACACCAGTAAAAACTGTTAACTCCAATCTCGTTAGGCAGAGTGCTCCCCTGCTGGATATTCGCCAAACTCTCTGCACAAAATGGTATCGTTGTTCTCATTTCTCAGCTCACTCGTTTTATTTTTTGCAATTTTTTCTATATTTTTTCCCATATACTTGTTTTTGTTTTGAAGTTACTATACTTAGTTATGGTCTTTTTAGATTTGTCAGTCCATTTAGCCTAAGGTGCGTGTTTAGATTTTTTAGACTAAATTCTGGTTATTCAAAAAGTTGTTTTGATATTGAATCGGCTATGGCCTTTAAAGTTATGTTGATAATGCTACTTACTCTTATATTAGAGCATTGGTATAAATTTCTTTTCTCACAGGAGATGGATGAAAGAACTGAAAGTGAAATTCCAAGTATGTGTGTTATATTGTTATGTGATATTTTCTCTTAAGATAATATAGAGCTCTTCTAGCAATGGTGACTGTTTTTTTCTTAACTAGATGTTGGGCTCAGTTTTGTTCATACAAAAGAATATAGGAACGAGTGTTGAGAGTAGGTTTTTCTTTGAGACATTAGGTCTTGTGTTAAATTATATTGATGTAGTGCTGCTGCTTTAAGACATTATACTTAGTGAGGTGATTTCTTCTAAGAAGTTGGGATGGTACAAGAACATTTTGGCATGATTAGAAGCTTAGATGATACTTAAAATTTCTCAGTGATTGCAGGCTACTCCACCGCAAAAGAAGTGGGAAACTATGTGGGTTGAATGAATCGAATGGAAAAGTTTGTCCGGCTGCAAACAGACTGAAAACTCAGCTTAGCTCTCATCAAGAATACCTCTTCTCCTTGGGCATGTTGTCGCAGATCTCCGAAATTGAGAGTGATAGCGTCGCAGTAGCCCTACTGATGGAAAAGTTGGAAATGGTGATGGTGATGCTCGTTTTTATAGTGCTGGATTCCCTTATGTTTCTTGGAACGATTTATCCCATTTCGTGGAGATTTTACTGGCATGAAAAGAGACCAGGAAAATGACCGGAAGTTATTTTCTCGTACTCAGGTATCAATTGTATATCAAGCTTAATTTTATCCATATCTTACTGCTTGGTCGATTTTAATCTAATTGGTTTTCTATCTTAGAATGGAGAGCTCGGAAATTGCGTTCACATATTATCCCCATTGAGTTTGCCTAAGACTTCACAGAGATAACAGCTATGGAAAGTTCTTCCAATTTCAGGATTCTGTCCCCTGTAAGATTAGAGCAACGTGGTTGTGCCACTCATCCTCGAAGCATTGCCGAAAGGGTAATATGTCTATATCATAAACCAATTAATATTCTAAGCACTTGAGAGTATGATAGGATTGACTATGAAATATATATATTGTTTAAGAACTTAAGGTGGCATTATATTTTCAGGTGAGAAGAACCCGGATCAGTGAACGGATGAGGAAACTACAAGAGCTTGTTCCAAATATGGACAAGGTATAATTTCTCCACACTTCAAACCTCAAATCATTGTATTTGCAATCCTAAAATATTTACTTTGTTTCCTCTTGGCAGCAAACAAACACGGCAATATGTTAGATTTGGCGTTTGAGTATATAAAGACCTCCAAAAGCAATTTAAGTAAGAGAGAAGAAACTGAACTTCAATTTTAACATTCTTGCCAACCATTCTTCACCTTACACTTTGATAATACTCTGCTTTGTAGACTCTAAGCACAGCCGGCCAACTGCAAGTGTTCGAATATTCAGAAGCCAGTCCCTAATCAAATTGTTTGACTTGCTTCTGTACAGAAGATAGGAAGTGATGAATAGGGGATTAGAATTTTCATTTTCTTTTTAATGAACTGAGCAAGTATAAGGAAGCTCAAGTTTCTATCACTTCATGAGCCATGACATAGAAAGGCAGATAGAATTTACACCACAAGATTCAAAGCCTGTAACTAACGAAGTATGGTTACAATATATATGGAATAAAGTGATAATTGTACAGACATGCTTCTCTAATGCATTTCTTGTTACGTGCAAGCCACCAATTTATTTCACTGTTTCTTAAAGTGAGACTGAAACAAGTGTTATTGTTTCTTGGTCCGACTCAGACTCAACCCCCTGTCATTGGACCGGCATTCACTGCATTAGAAACCGAGTCACCTCTCTCTATCTCCCAAACAAAAGCTTCACTGGCTACATGCCCTCCGAACTCGGCCTCTTGAACTCACTCACTCGACTCAATCTCGCTCACAACAACTTCTCCAAACCAATACCTGCCAATCTCTTCAACTCCACAAACCTCGTTTATCTCGATTTCTCTCACAACTCTTTCTCTGGCACAATTCCTGACCAAATCAAAACTCTTAAAGACTTAACACACTTAGATTTATCTTCAAACCACCTGAACGGGTCCTTGCCGGAATTTCTACTCGACCTAAGAGGCCTAACTGGTACTCTAAACTTGTCTTACAATCAATTTTCAGGTCAGATTCCGGAGATGTACGGACATTTTCCGGTGATGGTGAGTTTGGATCTAAGGTATAATAATCTCAGTGGAGAGATACCTCAAGTGGGCTCACTTTTGAACCAGGGACCCACCGCATTTTCCGGAAACCCGAGGCTTTGTGGGTTTCCATTGCAGAGTCCATGTCCAGAAGCTGAGAATCCCGGGGCTTTTTCAAACCCTGAAGAAGAACGGGATCCGCAAGACCCGAAGAGTTCTAGCTCTAGCTATGGTGGTGAAGAGAAAGAGAAAGAGGAGAGAAATACTGGTTCAGTGGCAGTTTCAGTAATTTCTGGCGTTTCGGTGGTGGTTGGTGTTTTTGTCTCGGTGATGCTGTTTCGGAGAAAACGACGAGCTCGTGAGGGCAAAATGGGGAAGGAAAATAAGTGTGGTGATGTTGTTGTGGTTGACGAAGAGGAGGGGCAAAATGGTAAATTTGTTGTGATGGACGAGGGGTTCAGTTTGGAGTTGGAGGATTTGTTGAGGGCTTCGGCTTACGTGGTGGGGAAAAGTAGAAGTGGGATTGTTTACAAGGTTATTGCTGGGAGAGGATCGGCTGTGATCGCGCCTACTGTTGTTGCAGTGAGGAGGTTGAGTGAGGGTGATAACAGGTGGCGGTTAAAGGAGTTTGAAGCTGAGGTGGAGGCCATTGGAAGGGTCCAGCATCCGAACATCGTGCGGTTGAAAGCTTATTATTATGCAAATGATGAGAAGTTGCTGATTTCTGATTTCGTCCGCAATGGAAGCTTGTACACTGCGTTGCATGGTAAAAAAACTATCTTTTTGAAATTTAGTGATTGTAATTATAAGGTTTAGAGGGTAGATTAGCTTAATTTGGGAAACAAATAATTATAGGGTCACATGAATTGGCTGTTAATCATGTTTAATGTTTGAAATGGGGGGCCTACATGGTTTCGTTCTTCTACACTATTATTGTTTTGGTAAACTTTTATCTAATTATTCTAGAAAACTAGTTTTGTAACTCGAAAATAATTAAATTCATATTATTAGAATTAGAGAATGCATATTTGAAAGCAGGATAACATAAAATGTTTCTCAAAAATAGGGATAATACTTTATATACAAACCTTTTATATAGAATAATGTGAATTAAAAATAAATTAAATAATTAAAGGAAATTACAAAGCAAACATGCAGGTTGACACATCAATTCATAGGGGATAGTTTGTATAGATAATCTGTATATGTAGTTTTACTCAAAAAATATATAAAACGTTTTTTCGGCGTCTCTTTTGTTTACAATTGGTGTATGAAGGATAAGTTTTCCAAATACTAGGCTGAATGTGGTTCAAAGTATAGTGTTCTTTGAGATGGCTCTGAACTTCTAAGTTAAGACATGCTCATGCAAGTAAAATTTGTTTCACTTGAATCCAAATATATGAATCATAAAGACATATATGATGGGTCCAGACTATGCTTAGTGTCTGACAATAATAAATGTCAGTTTTCTGGCGATTTTTTAAACTTCCCCTGTGATTTTTCCAGTAGCCTTCCTTCTGAATTGAGGTCATTGTAAACATTTTTGGGGCCTTCTCTGTTCTCATTGAAACAGTAATTACTCATTTCAGATACACCTGTGGTATCTTTCTCTTTGTTTTTTTTCCCATCACAAGAATTTGTCCATGTGCACTCTCTCAAGATACCCTTGTGAGGACCATTTTTCATGTTTTTCAGAACTCTTAGACAAAAATATTTATTTTGTGGTCCTCTTCATCTGCTTCTGATTGCTCTTATAAATACTAAGACCAACATTTATTGAATGATCCCATTATAGTGACAGACAAATGCATAGTTTTCAATGCAATTGATATCTGATAGTGACATGAAATAAGAGGTGGACCACTATCACCATTGTAATCCTGTTCCATACTGCATATTGGTTTATTGCGTTTTGTGGTTACCAACTTGGAAAAATCCTTTCTTCCGTGAATTGATGATGTTTTTCACCCGAGTGGTTAAAATGCTACATGTTAAAGGGTGGAAGAGAAATTCCTATTTCGATTTTAAATCATGTTAAATATACATATAACTTGTATTGGATTTATCACCTAAATCAAAGTTTATGCTTGTTATGGCACTCTATAATTAGAAGGAAAAACATCTAACTGTTTCCTTTCAATGTTTGTGATGGCTTTCCTAGTATAGTATCAGTTGGCAATATAATAGGCTAACTAGTTTCTGCAATGTTGTGTAATTGTTGCAGGGGGACCTTCCAATTCTTTGCCACCACTTTCATGGGCTGCAAAGTTAAAAATTGCTCAGGGAACTGCTAGAGGTTTAATGTACATACATGAACACAGCCCTCGAAAATATGTTCATGGCAACATCAAATCTACAAAAATCCTCCTTGACGGTGAACTCCGGCCTCACATCTCAGGTTTTGGAATCACTCGTCTTGTCCCTGGTACCTCTAAAATGACCAAAAACCAAACCATTGCAATCGGTTCCAGATTTTCGGCTCATGCTACTGTTTACTTGGCGCCTGAAGCTCGAATTTATGGCAGCAAATTCACTCAGAAATGTGATGTCTACTCATTTGGTATTGTTCTCTTGGAATTATTAACTGGGAGACTGCCTGATGCGGGACCTGACAATGATGGTAAGGAGCTGGAGAGTCTTGTAAGGAAGGTGTTTCGAGAGGAGCGTCCCATGTCTGAGATTATAGACCCAGCACTGCTGACTGAAGTTCATGCCAAGAAACAAGTTATTGCAACATTCCACATTGCTCTTAATTGCACCGAGCTGGATCCAGAAGTTCGTCCTAGGATGAGAACAGTGTCTGAGAATCTTGATCGCATCAAATCACAGTGAAAATTTTTCTGGAAGTGCCTTGTAAAGTTTTTTTCATTGCCGCTAACTTCTGGGTTTTGATGCTTTTAACTTTTCAGTAGTATCGATTTTGAATTTTGATGTCCTAGTTATGCAGGGTTATTGGGCTGTATCTCAACGTGAAACTATTATCGTATGCAACTGCATTCTCCTTGAATGTATTTATAATCCGTCTTTCTCGGCCTCTTGAAGTTCATTGGCTTAAGTTTAGCCATACAAACTAATTTAACCCAATAACTCAGAGTTCACATCCAAGATTTAGAGGAAGAGGAGATATGAATCATAAAAAATATGTTGAAAGGCAACTTAATAAGATCTAATATATCATTCTTCAATGACCAGTGATATGAAGTAAACTTAGCCCTCTAAAGACGTTTAGACTTTAGATGTTCATTGGCTTCGAATCTTTCCTGATTCTTTCTTTTGTTTCCTTTTAGTAATCTTGACTGTTGACTGGTGACTGTAAGCTTAGCTAGGTAATTTTCAGGCTTAGGGCAAGAACTTGTAAAATTCATTTTGGTGTTGAAATTGTCTGACCTTAAACCCAACCACATACCTCTTCATCTACAAATTTAAATTAAATGGACCCCTTTCCAAATTGGGTATGACTATGACTATGAGAGTATCTGGGTCATGATTTGAAAAGTGGGTTTAGGGTTTTGGACCTCACCATCGAATTATTTCTCTAATCAAGAGGGTTTTTTTTTAATAAAATATTGAACTCCATCTCCATGTCAAACACATCAAACTCACCCATAATTTTACTAATCCAAAGCTTTAACATTTTAGAGACAAAAGAAATTAAATCTAAAAAGTTACTTTTCAGTCCTCTTTGACTTGATTATCTTTTCAAAATCCATATGCACAATGCACTTTATTCTCCACCCAATAACTTTGATCTTCATGACCAAATTTCATGAGCCTCTCTTGAAAAGGCATATATATATATATATATATATATAACTTGGAATTACTTGAAAGTATACTCATATGAAGATCAAATTTCCCCAAAATTGCTGAAAGAATTTGTTGGTTTGAAAAAATTGGATACGACACAAATCAATCCATTAACCTATTTTATAGCTCATCGTATTCGGTTTAGTCTTGAAAAACGTTTCACTTGTCTTAGCACTTTGACTTTTTAATTAATTAAAAAATTTAAAAAGTTAAATGTAATATTTTGATAATTTATTTCCCATCCTAAACTTTTAACCTAATTGTTCAAGTATTTTTCTTAATTTCTATTATTATTAAACGTAAAAAAAATGTCTCATTATTTGTCTCTTAGTCATTATATTCAAATTTAGTATGGATTATATTGCTTGTTAATTTATACTTATTAAATTTAACAGTGAGATATAATAATATCATGTTTTATAATAGTTGTGTATAATTTAAATGATGAAATTTTATGTAACAACCAATTATAATTTATACACTACGTTGAAGTTTGAGAATGAAACTTTATATGAAATGTTTTAGTGTGTGCAATTATATAATTATGAAGTTTTTTTGTCATTTCAATATTTATGTGGTATGTATATAATTTAATATCTAATATAAAATATTTATAATAATTCAATCATATCTATTCATTGTTTGATTAGAAAAATTTTGAAAAACAAATTCGGGGAAACTTTTAACGAGTTTAGTAATATGATAAAATATGTTTGAGTTTAGGTTTTCATATGTAAATAATGGTATGAATTTAGTTTACGACAATTAAAACATAACATGAATACGATAAACAATACATACAAAATTGTTTCAACACGAGCCATCGAAAAAGATGTACTAAAGTTTAAAGAAATATTATTTTAGATAGAAATAAATAAATAAAAGAAGAGAAAGTGTAGAAATAGATGCTTAAAAGGGGTTAGTGATGATTTGGGCATATCTGAAAGCATAAAAAAGGGTTTGCTAAAATAAGAAGGGCTTTTACCTTTGTGGAGATCTAAAGCCCAAACATAAATTTTATATAAAATAATAAATTAAAGGAACAAACACATTGAAGCAAATGCGGAGTACGTGTCCATGTTTCCTCACATAAACACTCCCTTACTTTATTTGGAATGGGAGGCCTTCAACATGAAAACATCGTCCTTTTCTTTTTTATTTTAACTATACGGTTTACCTTTTTTCTTTACCACCGTCTCCACGAGAGTGAAGAGGGACCATCACGAGAAGCTTTTGAAGTATATATTCTTTTAAATTTTTATTTTATAATTCCCAAGTATTATACATTTTGTTCAATAATATTTGTAAAGGATAAGGTATTGCTATAATTTATTATTACTTAATGTCAATTTATTTACAAAATTAATAAATTAAGTTATTTAAAGGGAGGTGCAAAATTGGTAAAAAAGAAAGAAAAAAGGGGTTGAGATGGAGGTTTCAAAAAATGGAAAGACGGCGGGTATGATGTAATGAGAAGAAAGTGAAAAGAGAGGGGAATCAGATGCGGCATGAATCAAGTGCTCACGGGCACTGATACAGTGACGTCAAGGCCTTTGATATTATCAAATACATCACATCATATGTATCATATATCGCCCAATACTATTAAGTCCCATATCTCGTGCGGTTATGCTTATCCGTGACATCAAATCACACTATTCCAACGCTCAACGCCGTCAACTCTTTTTTTTTTCTATTCCCGTACTCTTAGTTATATTCTATACATACTCTTTAATTCTTAGAGTTGTATTAAATATCAAATTTAGATTTTTCTTTTCATTAAATTAAATTTAAACTATTCAAAATATTTTCATTATTTTTTAAGTATATAACAAACAATTTTATTTTTCTATTAATGGGAAGAAAATTATTAAATAAATTGGTAAAGCAAGTTTAGGTGGGAGGTAAGATTCATATTTGTGGATATAATGGGATATGCTTGATTCTTCTTTTGATTAAACAAATAAAAGTGGTAGTGATTTTATTCATAAAAAGTCTCTAGTAAATTTATACTTTATTCTTTTTTGACCTATTTTATTATGGAATTCAAATAATATGAGGGGAGAAGGGCTCTTTGGTGAAATAAAGGAACACAGGTGGAGAGGTTGTCCGAAACAATGAGAAGAAGAAGAAGCAGAAGATAAATATCACCTCCGTTTCCTTCCATCAACACCATTTTCTTCTTTTTAACTTTCTCTCAAGATCTCTTGCTTTCGGTGCTTTCATTTCCAAATCACGTTCTTTTCATCTCTCTCTCTCAACCTTCTTTTATTTACCCTTTCTTTATTTATTATATTTATTTTTAAATTGTTAGCTTTACTCCTTTCATTTAATCCTTTCAACCATTTCTCTACCTCTTTTCTTTAGTTGCTTCCTCTTCAAGATCTTATCTTTCTCTGCTTACAATTCAAGCTGAATTTCTTCTCCAGAAAGTGATGCATCTATTTCCTTGAATTATTAAGCTATCTGGAATGCTTCCCGCCATCGAATTATAACTCAACCAAACAGTTCTCGTTTCTCAATAACTGTAAGAGCCGAAACACAGAGTTTTCGCTGTCATGGATTCTAGCTTCATAATTTTCAGAACCAATCCGATCTGCCTTGTTGAGGTTTCACTCTGCTCCAAGCTCTCTTCTGTTAATTTCACTGATACTATTGATAGAGTAATTTTGAATCGGAGAGGTTAATCTCAAGATTCATTAACTCTGGTGGTGATACTGGTAATAACTAACTTTCAAGAATTTGAAGATAAATCGTCCGTTCATTGTGGGAATAATTCTCAACAAAACTGTCATGGGTTGCCTCCTCATTATCCAAGGCCGAGTTCTGTATGGACACCTCATTTGAGTTCTTAATGGATCATAACACAACAGTAAAAACTGTTAACTCCAATCTCGTTAGGCAGAGTAGCTCCCCTGCTGAGTATTCGCCAAACTCTCTGCACAAAATGGTATCGTTGTCTCATTTCTCAGCTCAACTCTGTTTTATTTTATTGCAATTTTTTTCTATATTTTTTCCCATATACTTGTTTGTGTTGAAGTTACTATACTTAGTTATGGTCTTTTTAGATTTTCAGTCCATTTTAGCCTAAGGTGGCTGTTTAGATTTTAGACTAAATTCTGGTTATTCAAAAAGTTGTTTTGATATTGAATCGGCTATGGCCTTTAAAGTTATGTTGATAATGCTACTTAATCTAATTAGAGCAAGTGTATAAATTCTTTTCTCACAGGAGATGGATGAAAAGAACTGAAAGTGAAATTCCAAGTTATGTGTGTTATTATTGTTATGTGATTATTCTCTCTAGAGATAATATAGAGCTCTTCGCAATGGTGACTGTTTTTTTCTTAACTAGGTTGGGCTCAGTTTTGTTTCAAAAGAGAAATATAGGAACGAGGTTTGAGAGTAGGTTTTTCTTTGAGACGATTAGTGGTCTTGTGTTAAATTAATTGATGTAGTGCTGCTGCTTTAAGACAATTATACTTAGTGAGGTGATTTCTTCTAAGAAGTTGGGATGTGACAAGAACAGTTTGGCATGATTAGAAGCTTAGATGAATTACTTAAAATTTCTCAGTGAATTGCGGCTACTCACCGCAAAAGAAGTGGGAAACTATGTGGGTTGATGGATCGAATGGAAAAGTTTGTCCAGCTGCAAACAGACTGAAAACTCAGCTTAGCTTCTCATCAAGAATACCTTCTTCCTTGGCATGTTGTCGCGATCTCCGAAAATGAGAGTGATAGCGTCGCAGGTAGCCCTACTGATGGAAAAGTTGGAAATGGTGAGGTGAGTCGGTTTTATAGTGCTGGATTCCCTTATGGTTCTTGGAACGATTTATCCCATTTCGTGGAGTTTTACTGGCATGAAAAGAGACCAGGAAAATGACACGGAAGTTATTTCTCGTACTCAGGTTCAATTTGTATTTCAAGCTTAATTTTTATCCCTATCTACTCTCTTGGTCGATTTTAATTAATTGGTTTTCTATCTTTAGAATGGAGAGCTCGGAAATTGCGTCACATATTACCACCAGTTGAGTTTGCCTAAGACTTCAGCAGAGATAACAGCTATGGAAAAGTTCTTCCAATTTCAGGATTCTGTCCCCTGTAAGATTAGAGCAAAACGTGGTTGTGCCACTCATCCTCGAAGCATTGCGAAAGGGTAATATGTCTATATATAAACCATTAATATTCTAAG